TATATGTATATGTATATGTATATGTGTGTCGGCATCCTTTGATGGCTGGCAAAACAAAAATAACGGGGTACTGGAGCTCTGTATAATCTTGTAAAACCTATAATCAGATTTTTTTTTTTTGTGGTATGATGTATTAAAATTTGGGGTTAGATCCATTGACTGTACTTAATTCCCTATATAAATAAAACTTTTTGTTTTGTTTTTCTGTTTTTATTAGACGGTACTGAAGTTTGTTCCACTGTAACAGATGCTGTTTAGAAAGCTTGCAGTCTTTGTGTGGAATACAGCACAACTCAGAGGTGTTTAGTTGTGATGCGGGAGCTTGTATGTGAATGGATGGGAACAAAAATGACAAGATTTATCTCAATTGACTCACTAAAACGGAGGAAAGGGCTCAATAGGGTAAGTGTGCAGCTGCTAGGATCCCATTTAGTGTAGTTGAAAAGAAAAGAGCAACATTATGTTCATATGACTGCCTCATATGATGTACAAACTAAATATTTTAACATCATCTTCTATGTATTATAGTAAATAAATGATTTTGACGAATGATGTTTGCCTGATGTTATTTTTCGGGTGAGTGAGCCGTCACACTTATGAAGAAACAACCAATTGTAGGATGTATTTAAAATGTCCTCTAATCAGGGTTGCCAGATATGCGCTTAATGGGCAGTCAAAGCTAGCCAAGTTTTTTAAAATAAAACAAAACTTAAAATATGCCACTTCCTACCTTTTTACGTTTTAAATTACATATTTTAGTTACTATTCTGCATTACAGTTTTAACTTAAAAATCACCGTAGTAGTCCTAAAAGGTCTGTTTTTACAAATAGGATTATTTTACCCCAAGACAGTCAGCTAATGTACACAGTCTTTGGTGGGGATGCTAATCCTTTATTTTTGACTGTTCTTGGTCCTTTTCATACATTTCTGCAAACACGCTCCTCAGTTTATGTGGAGATTAAATATTGAGTAGATTAAATATTTAAATACAAGCTTCCCAATCAAATAAAATTTCTGCAATATGTCAAACATTTAACCCGCGGGGAAAAAATGTCTATCCCTGGCAAGTTTAAAGTGTCCCAGTTCTTGGCAACCCTGTCTGCAACGCTGCCACTGCAGACCCGTGAATGACTTGCGCCACCTTCAGGATCAAGATATAAACTACACAACTCAATGTGTGTGCGGTACTTCGTTTTATTTGATTTGTTTACATTATTAGGCACAATTCCTACGTGTTTGTTTTGTAGCGAATATGCTAACATAACTAGCCTCAAGGACACGAAATTGAGCTTATATATGATCGAAAATTCAACATTTCTGGAAGTCATTGATCCACCTGAGGCTGAACGCTTTTGCCATCATAGGTGAGAATTTAAAACGGTAACATTCAGTGAAAGGGGTTCTTGCTCTCAAACCTAATACATTTGATAGCTCAGCTCAATTTGTCTTGTGTGAAGACTAGTATCAAATCATATAGTTATTCTTGGCTGCATGTGGAGGTCTTGTGAAATCTGAGGCCAGCAAAACCCACGTTAAAATTTGGCTTCAAGTGCCTGTTAAGATTTTGCAGACTGCGAGATAAATGGGCCTAATAATTTAACGGATAAGGATAATGTCTAAGGGAGAAAATATGCCTTTTTAGCCTAATATTATATAGTTGTTAAACCAAATATGAAAAATCTGTCAGAATGTATTCTCCCGTCTTTTGATACCTGTATGACTTACGTGAATGTTCAAGCTGCTCTTTTCCGTACAATGAAAGTGAATGGTGTCCACAACTTAAATTGCTTACATTAGGCTTATCATATGGCTTCAGGTTTGGAATATAGTGCATAGGTCATATGGACCACTTTAATGATGTTTTTGCCTTTATGAAGCTTGACAGGACCTCATCCCCATCCACATTCATTGTATGGAAAAGAGAAGCATGAACGATCTCCAACTATCTTCTTTTGCATTTTACATAAGAAAAAAGTCCCTGAAAGGACATGAGGATGTGCAAATGATGGCAGAATTGGGAAATTAGCCACCAAAGGAAACTAATAATACAATATGCGTTTGCTGAAACACTGCAACTACTTTATAATTGGGAATTTGCTTCATATTTGTAAACACGTTGACAGATCTGACAGAAGTAGATGGAACGGTTAATGCTTGCAGTAGTGCAACAGCCTGCCAAACACAGTCTACATTTGTAAAACACGAGAGACTTCAGTCCAATTCTGATGGGAACAATGTTAATCACTCACAGCTGTTCGATCACAGGGAAACAGTCACGTCTGACATGCAGCTGACTAAACTGACAATAAAAATGACAATCACATCATTGCAATTTCCCCATTAAAATGGCACACTGCCAAATTTAGATTTATTTCATAATCAGATTTGAAAGCATCTGTAAGTATAGAGTAAAAGGCAATATGGCAGCAAGGATTGACACTGAATTAGTTGAGTTGTCTTTAGATGTTCAGAGGAGGATGCTGCGAATTTACTCTGATTAATCATGAATAATAAGTATTTGTTGGAAAACCATTCTCACTCTCATTCACACTCATGCCAGGGAACAAGCATTTGTTATTTTTTCTGTCCTACACAGAACTGCAGAAATATACTGAATGAAAAGTGAGACATTCTCGGCCTCTGCCAAAATAAACGTCAGAGCGTCAGATCCTGAGATAAAACTAAGAAATAAGTTTCGGATTCTTTGGGTGAAAAAGTCAGACAGCTCATCAATCTGATTCAAGTCACTTGCCCAAATTGTTTACAATATGCACGACATGGGTGAATCTCACAAGAACGCATTACAGTCATATTTCACTCCACATTTTTCAAGTCTATTATTTGTATAACATTTGTAACTGGAAAAACATTAAAGAGTATGATTTTGGACTATTAAGTTTTTTTTAATGAAATTTTTTACATTGTAAAATCAGTTTCCACTAAATCTCCAAACGTTATTGCAAACCTTGTTTTTAAAAGTAAAATTAAATTGTCAAGTATTTATACATCATGGCAGTTTGTAATTTAATGGTAAGTTATTATTATTTAATGGTTAATGGTAAAATGACCCAGTCATGTTTTTCTGAGATTCACACACATACAAACTTTTGAGGGAAAACATAATTTTGGTTTGATCAGATGTAGCAAAACATCCACTAACAGATGATAAAACTGTGCTTCTACCTTTAAAGATCTGCAGCATATGGCTGAAATCTTTATTTCACGTTATCACAGAGCTCTAAACTGATCCACCGCTGCATTGCTTTGAGCAATCATGTCTTCTCAACTAAAGAACAAAGGCATGTGGACAAGATGATGTGAGAAAACAACAGTCCTGGTACTGTAAAAGAATCCTGAGATCGATGATGCTGCATTTTGACCCTTCCAGTTTCTGATGGCTCCGTCAAACCGTACGACCGGAAAATTCAGTTAAAGCTCAATGGTGAAAGTTTGAAGTGCAGCAGAAAGAAATATAATATTCGATCCATTCATTAGGACAAAAATGTGTTTGATTTAAGCCAATGAAATTAGTAGTGATCTACAGTATGTCATAGAAAATACAAGCACCCCTTATCAAAGTAACTTTTATAATCGTTGACCAAAAATGATCTTTTTTTTTTAAAGAATAGGCCATTATATTACTCAATCAAATCAAATATAACTGATAAAACCAAAAATAAAATAAATTTTCTAGAACAAGAACTGTTCAAGAGTCAGCTGTAGTCCTAAGCAGTCCTTATAACTGTGATTTTTTTCTGTCCATTCAGATTTTCAAAGCAAGACAATGAAGATGGAATAAGCTCACACAGAGATGTGTTTGAAGGCCGCAAAAAAAAGACATCACTCCCTTTGCTTTTCTATTCAAATGCAGATCAAAAGAAGGCAAAACAGTGCGAGAGGTAAATGGTGCAAGAACCGAATGACTCCAGTGAGTGGCAGATGCAGAGATAAGCAAGATGCACCTCTCCACCCAAACGAAACCAGAGAGGAGAGCATGAAACGGAGAAAAGGGGGCCTGTCGATCCACATGGATGGGGATATCATTCCATTCCACTTCGGAGTTCATCGAAACACGATGATGTCCCCTGCACAGAGATGTTAAATGTGTACAACAGGACAGCATTGTCATAGCTCACAAAAGGCAAGTGCTTGTTTGTGTTCTGAACACCACGATCACACCTAGTTCTGTTCGTTCATCAATATCCCCGTTGGTTTGTTTGGCTACTATGAGCCTGGCGGGCTGTGGGCGTCTCCGTCGGGCCACAGGGTAGCCGGTCGTCCTAATAAAACAGTTTCTGTTAAGGAAGGTGGTTGCAATTGCTCGCTAACTAAATTTTCGTACTCGCTACTGTCCTCGTCATCCTCCTGGTCTTCCTGGCCGGTGGCCTGGCGGTTCAGGGAATCCGAGCTCGAACCGTCTCCGTTGCCCAGGCCCAGACTGGGAGACGGGTGTCCAGGCGAACCTACGGCTTGGGGCCGCGGCAGCAGTATAGCGCTTGGTGAATCTGGAGGCAGTGTGGTGCTGTAGATTGGTGGAGATGACGAGTTCACGGGTCTCTCTAAACTGGGCTCCACCGAGGGACCTGAGAGCATGACTTGAGTCAGTGAAGAGTGTGAGGAGTCAGGAAGGGCAGAGTTATCGGGAAGCATGACAACAGCCGCCTCTTGGAGTCCTGTAAGGAAAAAAGAGGGTTATAAAAGGAATTGCTTCCCTTTTTTGTTAAACAAGCAACAAATGCGCAGAGTCATCAGCACGTACTTCTCTCTTCCTCAGCGCTGTTACGTTTCCTGAGAGCGATTTCCTTTTTGAGTTTGTTCACTTCTTCTTGGATTTTCTCCTTCACTCGTTCACTTTGATCCACTTCACAACACACCGCCTGCAGGATGACAGAAATTTCATTAGGGATGCATGATATTATTGGAACGTCTTGAAATGTAAACATTGGCATCATCCCGGCTCAAGGTGTGCTAGTGATTTTTAGAATTTTTACAGCTCTTTTGCTTTAGACCATCTACAAATGTTAAATTTTCAAATAAAAAGTTAAGCTTACAACTGCATCTGTCGGGGAAAAAAAAAAAAAAAAAAAGCAGCAGTGATTGATTTTATTATAGTTATTTTCAAAGCTTTCAATACAGTCACGTCTGACATGCAGCTGACTAAACTGACAATAAAAATGACAATCACATCATTGCAATTTCCCCATTAAAATGGCACACTGCCAAATTTAGATTTATTTCATAATCAGATTTGAAAGCATCTGTAAGTATAGAGTAAAAGGCAATATGGCAGCAAGGATTGACACTGAATTAGTTGAGTTGTCTTTAGATGTTCAGAGGAGGATGCTGCGAATTTACTCTGATTAATCATGAATAATAAGTATTTGTTGGAAAACCATTCTCACTCTCATTCACACTCATGCCAGGGAACAAGCATTTGTTATTTTTTCTGTCCTACACAGAACTGCAGAAATATACTGAATGAAAAGTGAGACATTCTCGGCCTCTGCCAAAATAAACGTCAGAGCGTCAGATCCTGAGATAAAACTAAGAAATAAGTTTCGGATTCTTTGGGTGAAAAAGTCAGACAGCTCATCAATCTGATTCAAGTCACTTGCCAAATTGTTTACAATATGCACGACATGGGTGAATCTCACAAGAACGCATTACAGTCATATTTCACTCCACATTTTTCAAGTCTATTATTTGTATAACATTTGTAACTGGAAAAACATTAAAGAGTATGATTTTGGACTATTAAGTTTTTTTTAATGAAATTTTTTACATTGTAAAATCAGTTTCCACTAAATCTCCAAACGTTATTGCAAACCTTGTTTTTAAAAGTAAAATTAAATTGTCAAGTATTTATACATCATGGCAGTTTGTAATTTAATGGTAAGTTATTATTATTTAATGGTTAATGGTAAAATGACCCAGTCATGTTTTTCTGAGATTCACACACATACAAACTTTTGAGGGAAAACATAATTTTGGTTTGATCAGATGTAGCAAAACATCCACTAACAGATGATAAAACTGTGCTTCTACCTTTAAAGATCTGCAGCATATGGCTGAAATCTTTATTTCACGTTATCACAGAGCTCTAAACTGATCCACCGCTGCATTGCTTTGAGCAATCATGTCTTCTCAACTAAAGAACAAAGGCATGTGGACAAGATGATGTGAGAAAACAACAGTCCTGGTACTGTAAAAGAATCCTGAGATCGATGATGCTGCATTTTGACCCTTCCAGTTTCTGATGGCTCCGTCAAACCGTACGACCGGAAAATTCAGTTAAAGCTCAATGGTGAAAGTTTGAAGTGCAGCAGAAAGAAATATAATATTCGATCCATTCATTAGGACAAAAATGTGTTTGATTTAAGCCAATGAAATTAGTAGTGATCTACAGTATGTCATAGAAAATACAAGCACCCCTTATCAAAGTAACTTTTATAATCGTTGACCAAAAATGATCTTTTTTTTTTAAAGAATAGGCCATTATATTACTCAATCAAATCAAATATAACTGATAAAACCAAAAATAAAATACATTTTCTAGAACAAGAACTGTTCAAGTGTCAGCTGAAGTCCTAAGCACTTATTATAACTGTGATTTTTTTTCTTTTCATTCAGATAAATGAAGCTAGACAACGAACAAGTCATGGAATAAGCTCACACAAAGATGTTTGAAGGCCACAAAAAAAAGACATAATTCCCTTTGCTTTTCTATTCAAATGCAGATCAAAAGAAGGCAAAACAGTGCGAGAGGTAAATGGTGCAAGAACCGAATGACTCCAGTGAGTGGCAGATGCAGAGATAAGCAAGATGCACCTCTCCACCCAAACGAAACCAGAGAGGAGAGCATGAAACGGAGAAAAGGGGGCCTGTCGATCCACATGGATGGGGATATCATTCCATTCCACTTCGGAGTTCATCGAAACACGATGATGTCCCCTGCACAGAGATGTTAAATGTGTACAACAGGACAGCATTGTCATAGCTCACAAAAGGCAAGTGCTTGTTTGTGTTCTGAACACCACGATCACACCTAGTTCTGTTCGTTCATCAATATCCCCGTTGGTTTGTTTGGCTACTATGAGCCTGGCGGGCTGTGGGCGTCTCCGTCGGGCCACAGGGTAGCCGGTCGTCCTAATAAAACAGTTTCTGTTAAGGAAGGTGGTTGCAATTGCTCGCTAACTAAATTTTCGTACTCGCTACTGTCCTCGTCATCCTCCTGGTCTTCCTGGCCGGTGGCCTGGCGGTTCAGGGAATCCGAGCTCGAACCGTCTCCGTTGCCCAGGCCCAGACTGGGAGACGGGTGTCCAGGCGAACCTACGGCTTGGGGCCGCGGCAGCAGTATAGCGCTTGGTGAATCTGGAGGCAGTGTGGTGCTGTAGATTGGTGGAGATGACGAGTTCACGGGTCTCTCTAAACTGGGCTCCACCGAGGGACCTGAGAGCATGACTTGAGTCAGTGAAGAGTGTGAGGAGTCAGGAAGGGCAGAGTTATCGGGAAGCATGACAACAGCCGCCTCTTGGAGTCCTGTAAGGAAAAAAGAGGGTTATAAAAGGAATTGCTTCCCTTTTTTGTTAAACAAGCAACAAATGCGCAGAGTCATCAGCACGTACTTCTCTCTTCCTCAGCGCTGTTACGTTTCCTGAGAGCGATTTCCTTTTTGAGTTTGTTCACTTCTTCTTGGATTTTCTCCTTCACTCGTTCACTTTGATCCACTTCACAACACACCGCCTGCAGGATGACAGAAATTTCATTAGGGATGCATGATATTATTGGAACGTCTTGAAATGTAAACATTGGCATCATCCCGGCTCAAGGTGTGCTAGTGATTTTTAGAATTTTTACAGCTCTTTTGCTTTAGACCATCTACAAATGTTAAATTTTCAAATAAAAAGTTAAGCTTACAACTGCATCTGTCGGGGAAAAAAAAAAAAAAAAAAAAGCAGCAGTGATTGATTTTATTATAGTTATTTTCAAAGCTTTCAATGTACTTATAAAAATAGCTTTAATAATCTTTATTTAGTTCTAACAAGCAAGTTTTTGCTCAAAACTAATCAAAATTAAAAAATAATTTGTTCATAATCTCTGCACAGGACAGACTTGGTGTTGTTTCCAAAAAAAGGAAATGCATATCGGTATTGGCTATCGTGCATCCCTAAAATTCAGATAGCACATTCTGAGCATAATTTATTTAAAACATTTAAATGCTATTAGACATAGCAAATTGTGGTGTATTTTAACCAACATCTATCTGACAGTTCAGAAACATTATAAGACTGTAACTCACCTGCACTCTTTCTTGAAGGGCACTGTATACTTGAAAAATAGCTCGAATGTCCTTCATCACCCCATCCTTATCAAAAAACTCAGTCCTATAAATAAAAAAATTAATTGGATATCACTAATTCAAGTATTTACTGCAGCAAAAGTAAGACTCTATGTTTTACGTGCTGTGCAGTTTAAATTATGTAAATTAAGAAAAACTTTATCATGGTTTCTACAAAAATATTGAACAGTGCAACTGTTATCAACATTGATATTATTAAAAAATGTTTCTTGAGCACCAAATCAGCATATCAGAATGATTTCTGAAAAAACATGTGACACTGAAGAATGATGCTGAAAATTCAGCTTTGCCATCACAGGAATGAATTACATTTTAAAATATATTCAAATAGACATGTTTTTAATTGTAGTAATATTTCACAATATTACTGTTTCACTGTATTTTTGATCAAATAAATGTGGCCTTGATTAACAAAAAAGACTTCTTTAAAATCCTACATTTTTGAATGGTATGGCAAAATCAAAATAACACAATTTGCTAAAAGCATGGCTAAAGAGGAATATTGAACATTGCAGTTAGGTTGCCTCACCCATGTTCTTTAATGACACTGGCGTAGTTCTTGGAGGTGTTCGGCACAGATGAGACTTTATATTCCTGTTGACTGGTGTTGCCCAGGTTTGGGATGCTTAGAGATATCCTCTGATTATACTTGCTGAGATAAAGATCAAAATTGCAACAGAAATGCTCATAAACACAATATCAGCTACATCACACCACTTGCAAACATTATGCATGGTATTATGACCATGGTATTATGATTAAGTCTCTAAACAGTTAAACAGAATCATGATTTTATCATATTTTGCTAATTTTTATCCCACAGTATTACATATTTCCATAAGCATGTATTAACCAGCATGTACATACTTTCTGTTGGGCCTGAAGAGCACATACTCCAAAGCATGTGTGGAACTATTGGCTGTGGAGATGAAGCTGAACAGGAGGAAGACCAGATCTGGGATGCCAAGTATATGGGTCAACTGCTTATGGATCACCTGCTCCCTGAATGACATCTGCTGTTGAGTGTTCCTTCTAAACCGGTACCAGCCGATAACATTCTGCTCAAAAAGAAGAGACATTGTGAAGTGGGTCGGCTGAATTAAACACACATAGTCGAACAGCAAAGGACAAAGAACCTGTCAAGGTACCGGTTAATAATTTATTAATTTTACTCTCTAAAATCTTTATGCATATTTCATGATAACTGCTTACTTTTCTTCTGTCCTTGAGGATTCTGTTGAGATTTTCTTCATTGATGTTACCTGCATAGTCATAAAAGCTGCAACAAACAAAGAATTTTGCCGTTAAAACACTTTAAATGGTAGTGTATATTTTTATTATAACATATAATAAACATTTAAGAATGCATCTACTAAATCCAACTGCCCATGCAGGACATTCTTACCTAAACAGTTGTGTACAAGGTTCATGATTATGGACCTCTGAAAAACAAGTGAATGCGAGTGATCAATTATATTCAACATCTGAGTAAAGCAAGCATGCTGTGACTGTTCAAAAGGTCTAATTTAAATATTAATAATATGCATACAGACAACATTAACCTTGGACTAGACGAAGGAAAATATGTTAGCAGATTTGTTCTCTAAAAACTGTAACATGCGACGTGGAATCTCAGCCATCGTGATCTGAAGGTTGTCTAGAGGACAACATGACCTTCATAATGACTCATCTTACTGCAAATATAAGGTACTACTATCTGAGCCCGCTTTTGATGTTGAAGGCCTTTGTGAAATTCTTTGTAAAGTGATCAGAGATGAAGGGGTCCTGGGAGCAGCGCCAAACTCAGAAACATGATCACTTAATGTTGGAGTGGAGAGAAGCTATTTCCAGCATTTCTGAGCCAAAAAGGTCTACATTGATGTATGAGGCTTATCTCTCAGGCCTTAATCAGGAATGCTGGCTGACACAAACTTAAAAACACAAAATTGGGTGGTTTATCAGGTTATTGACAACCAGTACAGCTTGCGACAGTACTTTGAATGGTTGAGACTGAACAGATTACATCAGCCATATCTTGAACTGATAAAGTCACAGGAAGGTTGTCACGTCCTCACTGTGAAACGTATTATGTCTGTGATTTGAGCCTTCAAGGGTTTCAGTAATGGGATGCATCATGCTTTGATAATGCATGATAAAATGGTCATTAAAAACTCTACATTTTGTTTGTAGCTTTGGGACAGTAAAAATAATCAGCCATGGTTTTACCTATTACATTGAGGAATTCTGAGCTACCGATGTGTGAGTCACTGATGCTTAAAGTCTCCTCCTGTCTCACTTCTCCCAACAGGAAGCCCTCCTAAAAGAGGCATACAAATGGCATTTCAAAGGCAAAGACAGTGTAGTTAAGATTGAATGTTATTATTACTGTAATAGACACTTTCAATAAAAGGTACAAAATAAGGCCTGCAACTGTTTTAAAATTAAGTAATAATTACTATTATTATTAGGCCTATTATTACTCAAAATGTGGGATGTCTACATACAGTTTAATAACCTTGTATGATTTAGCAATTTCTTAGCATTAAACATGAAATACACATAAACATTAAATATGCAAATGTTAAAAATAATTTAAAACTACAAACACATTTATTAAAAAAAAAAAAAACAGCATTCCAACTTTATCATATATAAAGCTGCCCTTTAGTCATGGCTTGCTAGTCTGTGACAAATGTTGGTTTTTAGTTACTGACAAACTTATCATAGTAATGTAATTGAAAAACAAAAAGTTAGTAACTGGCCAAATGCCATTCAAAGGGACATTTCATGTGTTTAAAAAGCAAGCAAAACCTAATCTGTACCTCTAAAGGTCATGGTATACCAAAATGTACCTTATTAGGTGAATATACCCAGAATTCATGCAACAAATATGTTACAAAATAGACAAGTTTATACAAGGAGGTCTGAAAAACAAAAATGTCCCAAACACTGCTGCAACGAGAGAACAACAGAAACACTGTTCTCCAGGCACACAACACAACTTCCCTGGCTATTTACTTGTTCAGTTTGAGATCACACTGAAAATGCTGATTATTCTTTCCAATTAAAATAAAAATAGGTTAACCAAGGTGGTTTAGTATCAAAAGCCCACATATAAACACCATGTAAATTAACAGTCTATCCCATAAACAAGCTCAAATCAAAATTAAAATGGCTGTCATTTAGATGTTCAATAAGGAAAAACAGTAAAAACCGTCATATCTTTGACTGAATGAAAACAGGTTAAGCATAACACTTGACTAACCAGCCCAAATCAACTATGCGAAGCCTGCAGGGTCAAGCAGATCACCCACTTCCTAATTCCTCAATGACTACATTAAAGGGCATGACACAAAGAGCAAAATGGGCTAGAAATGTTAAGCAATTCATTAAATATGTCTGTCCGACATTAAAGTATGCATTTGACAGTTGTTGCTGACAAACAAGTTAGCCAGCCAGCTAACGTTAATGTGACTATCTTGACACCTTGACATTGATGAGATTGAATTCACCGAACGCTAAGAGTTACTGGGCGGTGTACATTTATGACAGCGAGCAATCATACAGTGAATAAACGGCAATGACACTTTCTGACAAGCTTGTAAAATCTTTCGGCTTGTAGGTTTGCTAGCTGTCACCCTGGCTGCGTCTCAAAACCCAGTGTGCTGCCTACCTAGACCGCATTCGGTTTATCATCAAAGGCGTGTACTGAGTCAGCTTTATTCCACTAAAGATATCTAAAAATGCCATGAAAAAACAAAATTCCCGAGGAGTCGGAATTTTCAACGTTCTAATACACCTTTGAATGTTACAAAGGTTGTCTAGATAGGCGGCTCACCAGGTTTTGATACACAGCCCCTCTGAAGCCACACCAGGAAGATGACACCGGGAAATGAATTAATTGTGATTTGATGTAATAAACTGTTTGTTGTTTCGCTATGCGATCGTGCCCTTAAACATTTTCCCTCAAAGTCAGATGACAGAGTACTTACATGGTCGGAATTGCTGTTGGCACTGTGATAACACACAGAACTAAAAGTGTATCCCGAAATTGACGCCGCCATGATGGAAACATACGCGCCGAGCCCACAATCCTTTGCGCACGCACTATACACCAGCCTGCCCATGAATAAACAAAATGCTCACTCTGTATTTTTTTAATGCTTGACTGGATGATTTTTTTAAAATAAAATAAATAAAATGTTATAAATAAAATAGACGTATCTACTTGTTATTTAAAGAACAATAATTACCTTAATTCTTAAAACGTTATGAATGACACGTAAAAAGGTTAAAACTACATCTATTTGCATACATGTTGTATAAACCATAATATTTACCTTGAAACAACAGCAACAGCGTTTTTTTAACTTTCATCTGTCTCTGTTTTTAGTATAGAGATAAGTGACACACATTACGTCATGGCTGAGGAATGATGTAAAACAAAGCAAGAACTGTTATAATTTTGTACACAAAAAAGTGCAAAATTTGTCAACTGTGTGATGTTTTTATTTATTTAAAAAAGTTTTTTTTTTCGTTTTGCATATTGTTTTAATTTATATCTGTCAATCCGTTTATTAAATTTTGATCGATTTGCTTTCAAGTTTGAATATGCAATACAATTGTACCTTTACCTTTATTTTGAAGTGTTATGATTGTCATGTTCTGTATTACGTCAGCGGATGTTGATGAGACGAGACGTCATGAGCACACATGGGGCAGAAGACTATCCGGTGCAGAGCACAGAATTAGAAGATGATTTTGCTCCTTCAAAACTCGGAACAAAGGACTAGTAAGAGATTTTACTTGATTAGTTAGCCCTTCTAGTGTCGATCTCATAGAAGACCAGCACATGGGTTACATTTATGTTTCTGCAATACCTCACATGAATACTGTATATTCTACCCAGCAACCGCTGCAAGTGAAATGTTACACCTTTATTTGTCAAATAAAAAAGTAGGGTCGTTTTGAGTGATTACTTTCAATGTAGTCAGACTTTTGACTTGAGCTTAATTTTTCTGGCCATTCTACCGTTTTCCTTTAAGCTGGGATGATGCTTATAAGAGAGAGCTACAGACTTACAAGGATATTGGAGATGCTGGAGAAATATGGTAATTTAGCTTTTTCTTTGTGCCACATACTTGTTTATGAATGCCCTTTCATACTGATGTTCTTCTTCGAATAAAGTGTAGTGTTTCAGTGCTAGTCTGTTCTGGAAGAGTCTGAACCAGCACCATCTTCTGGTGTATATTAGTTGTGTGTTTAGTAATTTAGGACAGCATGAAGACTGTAACTAGTATTCTTCTGGTCCACCTTTAGGTTTGGTGAGGAAAGCATGGACAGAGTGATCAGATGGATGGAAGCACAAAATGTACCTGAAAATGCTGCCATACTTGACATTGGAACTGGAAATGGGATGTTTCTGGTGGAACTGGCAAGTCAAGTTCAATTTAGCTCTGCGTTTAGTCATTCTATCATTCTAATTAATTATTACTAATTAATAAATCAATTATATCAATGAAGTGAACAGTATTAAGTGAGTTTATACATAAAACAAGAACAAACATCTGTCAGTAAGGTATGACTCCCTTTGAATTAAGTTGATTTTTCAACTTGGCTGATATTTGTTCATGTTTTAAACATTTATTTATTTATTTAACCTTTATTTAACCAGGCAAGTTAATTAAGAACAAGTTCTTATTTTCAATAACAGCCTGGCAGGAGAATTAATATCTCCTGAGAAACATACAAACATATATTACAATACATAAAATACATAAAAGAAAGAATAAAATCTCAGTTAAAACATTTACAGGTCGAGGTCAGAGCACTTGCTAGTCATTTTTTAAATGCACATACTGGAATATTTGTCTCTAATTTCAATAACTTTTGCAGCACATTCCAATCATTTGGGGCAGTAAATTCAAAAGCGTAAACAAACATTAGTCTCTCATAAAACAAGAATTTTGATGTAAAATAATTTTAATGGTTATGTAAATGTATCTTGATTTAGGAGTCTTTAGAGAAAACAGAAATACCAATACTAATACTAAATTTACTAAAGATGCTAAATTTCATGAAGTTGTATTTTTAAACTTTGTAGCATTGCTTGTTCAAGACATTGACATTATGATTATTATCACATTGAAGTATTATGTTACAATTTATTCAATTTCATACTCAAATTGTCTTTACGTGATCTTAAAAAGGTCTTACAATGTTGTCAAGTCTTTACCTTGCAGAAACCCTGATGATGTAAATAAGTATAAATAATAATCACATGAATTATCCTTTAAGGCCAAGCATGGTTTTTCAAACCTCACTGGAATTGACTATTCCAAGGCTGGTGTAGAGCTCACCGTAAATATTCTGGAGGAGGAAGACTTAAAAAATGTTACAATTCAGGTAATGGAAATGATTTGTTTTTAACATACATAAATTAAGTAAATAAATTCATTGCACATTTAAAAAGAGCACAGAATAAAGGGGAATGTTTATGTCTTTGTGTTTTACATGTTCTTTCAGGTGGAGGATTTCTTGAACCCCAGCGCAGAATTGAAGGGTTTTGATGTATGTGTAGATAAAGGCACATTTGATGCCATTAGTTTGAGTCCAGAGGACAGAGAGGAGGCAAAAAAGCTCTATGTGAACTCTTTAAAAACTGTAATGCAACCAGAAGGCTTCTTCGTCATCACCTCCTGCAACTGGACCAAAGAGCAGCTGCTGCAGATCTTCAGACCTGGTACCTTAACATATTAGCATATTCCTTCAACTAATAATGTTTCAAATACTGTAATGATTGTAATATAATTGTGTTTCTTGCAGGGTTTGAGTTGGTACGAGAGCTGCCCACCCCCCGTTTCCAGTTTGGTGGTGTGACGGGTAACAGCGTGACAGCTTTGGTATTTAAACGGATTGACTGATCCTAAAGTTTTTTAAACGTTCCGTTTTTTGCAATATCAGTTATGTACTTTTATAATAAATTGTTTTGGAAAATGATGAACTTGTTCTTGTTTCTTAATATTGAGGTAATACTAAGAAATGTAATTACCTGTTACATGTGGTGGTGTACACATGAGGGCAGTATTGAGCTACATTTCATTTGAACGTTATGTCCGTTTTTACTCAGTTCTTATGAAGTTGATGTGTAATGTTAGGCACAAACATGGAGTAGTTAATTGTTGTATATACACTGTTGGGTAAAGTTATTTTTTTGTTTTTCTATATAGGGTATTATCTTAAGATTTTAACAATATTTTTTTCTTAGGTATTTATAACGTATTTTTGGCTTTTGTATGCAGGGGTTTCTCTGAAGATTAGAGCAATGATTTTAATTAGTTAGTTTTTTAAGTATTTAATTTTTTTGTCTTTACATGTAGGGTTTTGTCTGGGATTTGAGCAATATTTTTACTTCTTGCATATTTTAAAAAAATGTATTTAAAGTTGTCTTTTCTTTGTTTGTAGAGTTTGTCTGAGGTTTGAGCAGTACCTTTTTTTCTTATTTAATATTTTTAATGTATTTAACGTTATTTTTTGTCTTTGCATGTAGGTTTTTTTCTGAGATTTGAGCAATACATTTTTTAATGTATTCTAAAACTATTGAGGCCATACAATGGAATTGAATGTAATGAAAATGCCAGCTGTAGAAGTGAAGTGCGGTGTAATTTGTTAAAGTCCCCATGTAGTCAAATATTTTATCCCTTAAAACGTATCTTTGATCATCAAAATGACATATTTAAATGTTTTTTCTTGTGAAAATAATTTTCTCATGCCTTAAAATAGCTTGAATGTAACTCTACACCCTTGCCTCATTTACTATACGCGGATCTATGAATATGCAAATTAGTCCCGCCTCCACTCAGTCACACCAGCCAGCGCCTCCTGATCCACTGAAATGTAGTAACCGCAAAACAATGGCATACACGGATAATGACTGATACAACTATGTTTTTACTAGCGGACAACTACAGTGAATACTGTAACATTCGTTAAAAGTTACTTACTTGTCCTAAAATGCCTTGAAGACTCGAATGCAGCCGTTTGTGATTCTTAATTAGCGCCCGCGAGCATACGCGTGTGAAGTGCAGACACCGATGCTGGAGAGGTGGGTCTGACTCCGGGCTACTTTTACACTGTTGCCACGGGTTATAATGCAAGTTAGCGGTTCTAAATTCACATTAAACCACAGCTTCATGGGTTTTTTGCTCTGATTTATTTTTGGTTTTGTGCTGGTATTGGTATATTTTGCATGCTAGTGATAGGAATCGATCCCTTGACGTGATTGGTTATTGGTTTGTGACGTAGCAAACCAAGGGCTGTTTCAAACCATATTTCTGGGTCAGCCTTTGGGAAACTACAGTTTTAAGGAGAAAATACACAGCAATGGTGTTGATTAATAGATTGGCACATGGTTTGTCTAAAAGCAAATTAAAAAAAGCACATAAACAAATAAACAACATAAACTTGATTTTCACTACAGGGGGACTTTAAAGCATCCCATTTTGTCCCAGGGCTTGAAAACCTGTGCCTAGGATAGTTAGGTCCATGCAGAAACTTGTGAACGATGCTCTTATAGTTGTGGCATCACCGTTTAGTGACATCATTGAATGTTCCGGGAAAACGTTTTGTCAGTGTCGGTCACAGCGCCTTTTAATTGCTGTTTTGAATCCAGT